CTACTTAAGGGGAACTATAAACCCCTAAAGCCGAATCAGGCTGGGGCTTTGGGCCACTGGGGAAGAAGATTGGGGTCCATGGGAGCAGCGATGCGGAGAAGCACTCCTGGACAACCTGCACTTACTTTGCTTCTCGAATTCAGGGTTTTAGGATTTCAGGGTTTAGGGTTTTAGGGTTTCAGGGTTTAGGGTTTTAGGGTTTTAGGGTTTTAGGGTTTTAGGGTTTCAGGGTTTAGGGTGTGGGGAAGGCTTAATGTGCCATAATCTAAAGTCTTCGGGGGAGTATACAGGTGGGTATTATAGAGGTTGTACCTCATGTAGGCTTCATAGTGTTTGATGCTTAGGGTGTGGGGTTCAGGATTTACGGTTTGGGGTTGGGATTGATTCAATGCAGCTGTAGCTTAAGCTAAGACGAGTTTCCCGAGACCATGAATAATGAGCAAAACACCCTGAAAAGTCCCCTCATGCCCCTTACGCCAAAATCCTAATTCCTGCATGCTAGACACCTTAGATGGGACGTCGTCAACTCTCAACTTTCAGCTTTGCCGAACCTCAAACAGTCCTGGAACCTCGATAATCAGGGTTCCTTGCCAGCTGAGGTTTACATGATCTCCACCACTATCGCGCCTCTACTGTGCACAGTTTGGTGATACGGGCCTGTCATGCAGAAATTATACGACATGATGCGGTGTAAGCATATATATATGCTTGGACAGAGCCATAGCCAGACTGGTAGAGGGCCCTCGGTGCTTGGGTTGATTTTGCGCTTGTTCTTTCCTCTCTCGTGTCGACTTGTGGACATGCCTGAAGCCACTTGTTAAACGATGGGATGATCCAGCAACACAGCTGCGGCAGCTGGATTTCGTTTGAGTTCGCACTCCCATATCCACCCCTGAAATCTGTGTGAGGAACCTCAAAAAGGATCACTGACTTTGTTAGCCCTGGCCACTTCAGGTGCCTTTAGTGCGTGTCCTGCTTTCTGGGAGGGGCACCAGACGAGAAGTACTGCGGGACGTACGGTTCCGGTATCTGTTGCTGGGAACGATGCTTGGCAAGTCAGGATGTAGGCTAGACCTTCACTATGCCAGCAAGCGGCCTGCTTGTCTTGCTGGTGGATTCCGGTAGGGTTTTCCCTATATACCCTAGACCTTATAAGAATATTTATGTATTAGAAAATCGCGATGCCAGTGCCTGTACTCACTCCTGCCTCTCCCTTCAGAATGTTATTGACCTAGGCACCCCAAAGTACCCTCTATAGACCCCAAGTATCCACAGATAGACCTACATAGATCTTGTTTAAGGGTATTTGGGGGTCCAGGGAGTCTAAACACCTATAAGCTCAAAGACCCTGAACCTTAAACCCCGAACCCCAGACTGCCAGGACGGTCTGCGGATTGATCTCGGGCGGTGGCGGGTTGATCTCTACCTATGCCTTTTCCCAGGAGGGCTACTTTTCAGGCGTGGCATTGACCAAGATACTATAGTACATTGGGGTATATAGGGATATATAGTGATTATATGATTATATAGGGATAATGGAAAAGGAACGGAAACTACTATCTTATAATAGGGTTTCTTATGATTTGGAAGTTGAATTTTGACAGCTGACACTTCAGGGCTTGGGGTTAAGGCCAAGGAATTGAGGCAGTTCATGGGATTCTAGGTAACCAGCGTAAGGTTTTGGGGCATGTTGTACGTACTTGAGCTGTTTTCGGATTACAGTGGGATAACTTGTCCAATAATGGAGACCTCTACAAAGCCCTTGCGGTAGGGATAAGGTTGTATGGCGTTTGGAAGGCTGATGTGAGGGTCACTCCGCATGCACTGATCTTTTTAGAGCCTCGGTATATTCACGTGACAGTTTGGCGGAGGATCCCTATTGTTTTTGCCCTCAACAAGGGACCCCGAAAAAGGTACCCCTAAATTCGGGAACCCCTCATATGTATACATTCTATATGGGCCCAGCTTTCAAATCGTTTTCGGCATGCGCATGAAGTAAATGATTGATAAAGATGCCCGATGATGATTTTTAGTTGCCGTTGTTATGTAATAGTGAATGGTGCAAAAGTAAAGATTTACAAGAGCAGAGAATGGATCAGACTATGGCAACTTTGTTTATACCGCCTTTGCATATAGGGGTGTGTAGGTGGCTTATAGCGGCTTCTTTGGTAGGGATTCCCTCCGTGAGGGACCGAAGTAAACCCAATCCATGCTGCAGGTGCCTTGATTTCCACAGTGGAGAACGGCGTCTACACTGTGTTTGGGGCCCTACTGATTGCGGTGCTCTTCGAGGAGACATTGAGCAAGGAGCAGCTTATCAGCGGGATCTCCGTGCTGCTGGCCATCATCATATTCGGCATGGAGTCTTGGAGTTTGTTAGTTAGGTGTTCTGGCTGGCCTGCTTCAGATCACTCAAAGACTTAAACACCGCTCTGAAAGCTGATTTAGGGTTTCAGTTTGAACACGGAGACCAAGGATTTCCAATGGCTTTCCAAGGCCCTCGGCTTGAGCTAGGGCTACCTGGGATGTCTCAAGATCATCCCAACAAAAAATCTAGAAGAAGATGCATCTCCGCTTTACCGCATGTAGAGAAGCCCCCGTTTCGGGGAGTGCGTAAGGAACATCCTAAACTGAGCCCCCAACCCCTGTGAGACATTTCCACAGGCTGGAGCTCTTGATCGCTACCGGTTCTTAAAGGGGGAGCGCACGAAGAAATACAACAATCGCACACTGTAGACAGCTACTGTGTCTGTGTATATACATACGGATATGTGAATAGAATCGGGCTGCTGTTCCTGTACCCTTCAAAGAGATATGTTGTCTCAAGAGCTCATGATTCAACGATTCATGCTGATGTCCGCAGGTCCGGTTTGGGCTAGTCGAGGAAAAAAGTCCAAGGGAGAAGGTTATAATTAGGAGTTTAACTTACAGAAAAGGCGCAAGCCGGCTCGAGATCTTAATCACCTCTTATGCGTAGTAGGTATACCTAGACCCCCAACCAACCATAAAAAGGACCTATATAGCCTGTACTTGGGGGTAATTAGTTGGGGTTTCCTGGTAAGGATTGAAGTCTGACTTAGGAGTTTTCTCCACCTGGGAACCAGTAGGACTATCCATTTGCAGGTCAAAGGGGCCTGTTTTTAACGACCAAGCAAACGGCATGGCTTGACCAGAGCGCTGCGCCAGACAAGCTGAGCATGCATGACTGCCTTACATGCTAGTAGGGATTGTAGGAATATAGTTTGGGACCGAGAGCCTTCAAAAGACTCACCAAGGCTATGGTTTTAGAGTTTAGGGTTTAGGGCAAACTCACATCAAAATTCCCATGATTCTGTTGGCAGTGCTGCAAGCAACTGTGGGGACTCTCTTGCAAGACCGTTGGTAGTGCAGCTTCTAGGAAGGATAGAGGTGCACCCGATTAACGTCCGGGCCGAAATAATTCGAAGGGGGGTAGGACACTCTCTACATCCTAAACACTAACCCTAGGGCTCCAGTTACCTAAATAGTAGCTTACTGGGCTATGTAACTATAGGGTATATAGAACCCAGTTCCCATTACTTAGGTAACTGGGAGCCCTGGGGCTAAACACTAAGCCATTCAAAAGGTCATCAGGGGATGATATCTGATCAGTCAGGCTTTACATTATCCCGAGCCCAGAATTGCGGCCTTTCCCTCGAGTCCCTTATTGCCTTTACGCTGCCAAGGCTGTAAAGTTCAATATGTGTCATACCCTATATTACCGCTTGGGGTCCTACTCGTAGGTAAAATGTAGAATGCCCACCAAACAATAGCATCAGGCTTATCGGGTAGGCTACTAACTGGGGATCCATTCCGGCACGCAATTGCTTACCGGCTTAGGCTGGCAGCATTCAGCAAAGAGGAAATACCGTTGTTCAGACTGGTGATGTCCGATTTTGCCGAGCAGTTGTGTAGATTCCTGTGCTTTGACATCCCGATCTGAAGTGAAGCACTTGACAGCATCAACCCAAGCCCTTCTCCAATCCCACCCCCACCAAGACTCTCCTAGCACCTCGAATTGTTGATATATGGTCCCTAATAGCGCGTACTCAGGCCCTAACAGAGGGTAGGGCGAGGGTCCACCTAAATACTGGCGAAGAGTCTTTAATCTCTGTGAATTTGCTGCGGTCGCGTATTTGGAACAGTAGGGACACCAAGCGTCTAGCAATCCATGGATGTCCTTTATTTTGATCGCAAAGTTCCCATTCGCCCAAAGCATTTAGAACTTCCAAAATCCTGCTAGGAATCTTCCCTGAAGCCATCTCGGGATGCCTAGCTTAGTCTAGGGCATATCTGGACCTCCCCAATACCATAATAGTTGCATTTATCCCCATTACTTTGGAGTATTCCGGGTCGAGGTACTTCTTACTCACCAGGCTTCATAACACAATCTTGGGTAGCTCCGGGACCCCAGGTTCTACCTCTGCTGCGCTTTGCGCCTGAGGGAGAAGGAAGTCGAAGCAGCCGGTCAGGACGCTAGGGTCCAGAGTTTATAGGGATTTTTAAGTACTTTAGTCCTGTAAATGTGGTGAATCAAGTGGACAAGAAATTGACAACGAAATGGAAGATTAGTATAGGGTTTGGGGCTTAGTTTTTGAGATTAGGGCTTAGGAAGAGAGTATCCAATGGAGAAGACAATGGAACATGACAGGGAAACTGGGAGAATACTGTGTTTACATAGGGCCGGCTAGATAGCCTTGAGTAGTATTTCATCGTGGAATACTATATAGTCCCCAATATAGACGAGTTGATTCTATTCTCCTTGCTTGTATAGTATTTCTATCCTGTGTGGCGCAGCCACCAAAAATACTATTAGCCTGAGAAGTGGGATCTTTCAAAAACCCTAAACCCTAAACCCATGTAACCCGTTGTCAATGGCTGTATTAGAATGCAATAGCCCCTGAAGACGTGACTGCAGTCTCAGCACATGCCCCAAACCTCGAGGGTCTGAGTACTCACATATGAGCTATAGTCTAAACTCCTTAGAGGGGGTTATATAGGGGGTTATATAGGGGACTACTATCGGGCTTATTAAGGGGGATATTATGAGTTTAGACTAGAGCTCATAGTTTAGGCACATGAACCCTTTGGGTAAAAAGGGTGTGGGCAGGAGCCATGCGTTGGGAGCTTCGGGTGATAATGGGAAGTGCCTGGTCACCTAACACAAGGCCCCAACAACTTACAGCATTCAGGTCCACGATGTCTTGTACAATTATGAATAGGGTCAGCAGACATCAACATGATACTCTAAGCGCTAAACCCTAGCCCCTAAACCCCAAATCCTAGACCCTAAATACTTATAAATCTACATGTCCTTCCAGCAAGCCATCGTCTTACAGGGGGTTCTATCGGGGAATACTATAGGGCTATTAAGGGGGATACTGGGTGTTGAGACTTAGACCCTAAACCCTCTACTGGGGGTCATTAAGGGGGATACTAGGAGTTTAGGCTATGGCTCATATGGGTTGTTCTCAAATTTATGGCCCCATTTTGGTACCCTTAAATATTAGGCGCCCCAGTATAACCCATAACCAAAAGGGTCCCAGTGTCTTGAGAACAACCCATATGTGCTCTGCCAGGACTCAGAGAAGCTTTTGGCCCTGGCTGGCGAGGTGCAGGGATCATGTGGGCTCTAGTCTAAACTCTTCAAAGGGGTGGTTATATAGGGGAGAATATAGGGGACTACTATAGGGGATATTAAGGGGGATACTAGGAGTTTAGACTATAGCTCATGTGGGCTCTAGTCTAAACTCTTCAAAGGGGTGGTTATATAAGGTTTGGAGTTTAGGGTTTAGGGTCTAAAACTTTTTAAAGGGGGGATTTTATGGGGTACTCTATAGAAAACTACTATACTGGATCAATGTTAGGGATCCTTTATACTTTTTGGGGTATGAGATTCCTATGTAAAAAAGATCCTTTTTTCTTCCTAGGGTAATATGGGCCAAGTATAGGGGTTATTCTGGTATGTGGAGACTGCCCAAGCAGATTGTCGGCTTCGTGTGGCGCTTGACATGGGAAGGCGCCTAGCTATGCCGTACGAACCGTTGTCTAAACTCTTGAAAGGCTGGTTTGCTATTTAGGGGATTATATGTAGGGGACCATCGTTGGGCGTATCAAGGGGAATACTCGGAGTTTAGACTGTAGCTCATAATATGCCCCACATATCTCAACAAATAGTTTAACATTGCCTACATAGTCCGTATATGTAACTGAGATCCAATAGCCAACTTCAATGGCCCTACTAGGTTTCAGCCATCTCCAGGTGGCACAACAAGATGTCGAGCCCTTCTTCCAGGACTGTTGCATCTGTGTCCTTAAGGGTCCAAGGACCCAAATAATAGGGTTTCAGGGCCCAATTACCTAAAGCCCTATTAGTTGGGTCCTTGGACCCTTAGGGTGTGTTACCGGTTGTACCCTGCAGGTTTTAAATGCGGTTCTGGAAGTTTCCATAGTAAGTAGAGATTGCAGGAAGTGCGGTAGACGCTCAGCACGAGTATCCGCAGACATGTTCTCAGAAGGAGAATTGTGACATATGTCGGCTTCCCTGCTCGCAGCTAGACCGCAATCAAAATAGCACTACCATCCTCGCGCTTTGAAGTTGAGGGTTGGGGGTGCATTGGTTCCCCAAACAAAGCCGCTTCAGTTGCAGGAATGCCGGGATTTCGTGTCTGGCTACAATGAGGCCTACGAGTGAAGATGGAAACGAAACCCCAAGGGTCCACGTACCCAATAGTCATATACTTACCCCAAACCTATACCAAAATTATTCTGACCCAGATTCCAAGTACACAATTATTGGGTACATGGACCCTTTGGGAAAAGCAGCCCTGATGTCCGGATCATGCTTAAGGACTTGACCTTGGCCTAGCAGAAGGGAGTGGAGAAATTTACCCCGTTCTGCTGGCCATATGGGTGGTTGTCAAAAGTATGGTCCCTTTTTGGGTACCCTAAATATTAGGTGCCGTATTATAATAGGGATCCAAAAAGGGACCATAATTTTGACAACCACCCATCTAGGGACTGCTATGAGGATCCATTTCCTTCATGCTTGCTATGAGGATCCATTCCTTCATTCCTTGCTATCCAGAGGTAAGTAAGCCAGGACCCTCCTTGTACCCTTAATTGGGGATATATGGTCCCTAATAGTAGGTACTTAGGCCCCAATAGAGGGTAGGAGGAGGGTCTAGGAAGGTAATGCTCAGGATTGAGCTGAAACATAACCCTAAACCCTAAACCCTAAACCCTAAACCGGTTTAGGGTTTAGGGTTTAGGGTACTGGTGGTAATGCCTGCCGCTGCCATGTAGTGGTTGGAGGCTCGGGCTTCTGTGGGGATCCCTAAGGGTCCAAGGACCCAAATAATAGGGTTCCTTTAAAGGGGGTTATAGGGGTATATAGGGTTTGAGTGTTTAGGGTCCAAGGACCCAAATAATAGGGTTTTAGGGCCCAAATACTATAATATTAATGGTATTTGGGCCCTAAAGCCCTATTATTTGGGTCCTTGGACCCTTAGGGGATGTTAACCTGCTACAGCTGCCACCAAGTAGGTTACTCCTTCGTCCAGGTGCGGCGAAACATGGGGCTTGAATCTGAGTGGCTTTGGGTACCTTGGGTTCCTGTCCTTGGGTCAATAGATAAACTTATACTATCTATAACCCAAGAACCTATTATATGGGTACCTGCGCTTCTAGGGGTTATTAGGTACTGAGACCCTTAGGGTTATCGGTACCAGAAGGGGCCTAAGGACCTGAAGTATTTGTGCGTGAGACTGGCCACGTCGTGGTCAGGCTCTGCATCGGCGACTTGACGACACGACGATTTGGCGAGAGGCCCGTAAGAGTCTATAAAACTCCTGGTTCTGTACTTGCTTGGACCAGCTGCCATTGAATAGGGTCTATGTATGCCCTATTTGTGGGTATTCGCTTTATAGAATGTACCAGGCGATCTAGGTGGCCTGTCAAGCCCCGTGTCTGCAACTTCAGACTACAGCTTCTGTAGTTTGCAGCGACGAGATGCTTGTGATGTCGTGACCCAGCTTCTAGCCCAAGGTATGAACATGCGCACGTTGTTACGAGCCCCTACCTGAAATTGCTGCGGCAGTTTCCTGATTTATGTTATGGTGTGGTTTGTCCTAGCGGAAAGACATTCCAACATGGTGTTCATGCTGGTTCTCGTGGCAAATTGCAGACTAAAATTAGGGTGTCAAGAACCCTAAGGGTCCAAGGACCCAAATAATGGGGTTTTAGGGCCCAAATACTATGATAGTAATGGTATTTGGGCCCCAAAACCCTATTATTTGGGTCCTTGGACCCTTAGGGGAATGGATGGTCACAATCTAGGCGTAAGGCGTAAGTTGGCATCCATGATGACTGATCAGATGTCCTCTGTCTCGGGACGTGGTTGGGTAAATCTGTGTGCTTACTTTCTCAGGGGCTTCAGTAATTAGACCCTGCTACTTAACCCTAAGGGTCCAAGGACCCAAATAAAAGGGCTTTGGGGCCCAAATGCCATTAACATTATAGTATTTGGGCCCTAAAACCCTATTATTTGGTCCTTGGACCCTTATATAGTCCTCATGTATCCCTATATATCCCCCTATAACCCCTTTGAAGGGACCCTATTATTTGGGTCCTTGGACCCTTTAGGGTTAAGCTGCATCCCAAGGACCTTCCTGATAAATAAGCGTTCTCGGAAAGCACTCGTCATGAGGATTCTGGTCTGTCGGTATAGTCCCCCTTAAGTAGATAGAATATACCCATTCTATGTACTTAAGGGGGATTAGATCTTTAAGAACACAGGCACTGAACAGTTGTCAATCAGAAACGTTCACCCTCCCTCACCCCACCCATCCCTGAAGCTCGACGTTGTTACGGGCCCAAATAAGCCACACACCCCATCCCTGAATCCGAATGTCCTTAAGCCCGCCAAGCCCTACATGCCAAACTCAAAACCTTAAGGGTCCATGTACCAAAATATTGCGGCTTTAGGTTCCAAGAACATGCAGACATAGTACTTAGGACCTGGCATTTCGTTTTGTGGCACTTGGACCCTTAAACCCACTCTACCCCGGTATATACTTATCAGACCCTTGGAATCACCTGTAATTTGGGCACACTTAGGCCCTTAGGGTTCCTCAAGCCCAGACCACAACCGCAGGTTGAAGACAGTCTGTTTTGGCATCACAGCTTTGAGGTGGTTGCAGACGAGGCCAGTGGCTGCCTACCAGGAATTAAGATTGTAGGCTGAGTATCAACCCTAAGGGTACGCGGCTTAGGGTTAGGGTTTGGGGTGCAGAATGATGGAGTGCTTGAGATTTGGATAGCTGATTGTGTTGCAGTTTCTGGGTAAGCATATGGTTATAAGGTAGTTGGACACCTCAAAAACAAGGGTTTAGGGTTCAGGGGTTCCGTAGAAAATGGATGACATGCTGATAATGTTGCCTGATAGCCTTCATGCAATACATCGCTCGACATGTCAAGTAAAGTGTTAAGGCCCTTTTGCACTTACATGTCTTCACAAAGCCTCTAGAGAGAGGGTGTCGGTTGTCTTTGTTTGCATGCGTCTTTGTTTCTCGTACTGGCATGCATCTGCAAATGTTTGGCCATTTCTTTGTGATTGCGCATCAAACATGATCTGCAGACGGCCGCCAGGGCCAGAGAAGACTTACTGGTATCTGTAAATTAAGGACTGATAAGGGCCTGTTTGCCAAAACTAGCGTGCCATTTCTTGTGCAGGATAGCCTACTTCTTGAATCTTGAACCCTAAACTTAATCACGCACCAACATTCTCAATGCGTAAAGCCTGAAGACTGGACCCTACACCCCCAACGCCCTTCAACAAGTTGCCCTGAACTGAAACTCTAAACCCCACATCCTGACTCTAGAACCCCAAATCCTCAACTGAGCCCTCCTGGAGAAGGCCACCATTGTACATGCTGTGGGGTTCAGGTAATCCTGAAGCCTACGACAAGCCTTCTCTTCCAGCTCGCCAGGCCTATGCGGAACTGCGCCGAGAAGCCTTGCCCGCTGAGGCACGGATGCGGCGGGGACTCTGCCTTTGTGAGTAGCTCCCCATACCATCCCTCTATAGCCTATATAAGTTTTATACAGATTTTCTCTAGAATTCCTGTATCATCTCTCGAATCCGGGCTTTGGGCTTTCGGGATACTTGCAGGGCTTAGGGTTTGCAATTGAGGCTTTATGGGGGGGTGTTCAGCATTACTTACATGTAACGATTTTGAGCTGTGATCGCCCTTGGTTTCGTTTGTCAGCTGTGATTGCCCTTGGTTTCGTTCGCCTTCTCAGCAACCTGGTGCCTAATAAGACCTTCCATTCATGGCAAGATGCCCTCCCCCCTCCCGAAAATAGTCCCTACTACAACCGGATGGTCCGTACTGCAACCAGATGGTCCCTACTACAACTGAAAAGCGGACCCTACTACAACCGGTCCCAAAAATCGCAAAACTGGACCCTACTGCAACCAGAACACAACATAATACATAATAACATAATACATAATGAGATTACAACGACAGGCACCCAGGCCATGTAATTGTAAAGGTTAAGGCTTTTGAGGGAATGGCGCTCTGAAAGTACTGTT